CATTTTGATTTTCATTCAACATGTATTGCAAAGAAACATTCTTGTCGTTAGTTGAATGACAAATTTATAATTAGAAAATTGCTATCACTTATGGCGGATATTAAAACGAGGAAAAATGTCGTCACCGTTAATAAATTCTTTTTTTTGTTTATGGAATGACTTCTAGCATATTTCATATTGCTCTAATTTCTTGATATCTTCTATGAAAGCTCTATTTTCGTTTGTTTCATAAATTTCTTGACTAATTCTCTTCTTTTTCATATTATTTCTTCTTTCCTTTCTTTTTTTTAAAAAAAATGTCCGTACTTAATAAAAGATAAAATATAACAGTATTCACCTTTGAAATGACTGATACTAGAATAATTGCATCGAATTAAAAAGAGATGGTGTCAGCGTAAATTTTTCATTTGACGACATATTCCAACTTTTTTTTCATTGAACTTCAATATGTCTTTTTCTGTGACATGAAATTGGTAGTGGAATGAACACTTACTCAATTTAAAAAAAATGTCGTCGACAAAATTTTCAAAAATTAAGTTATTGATATTAACTGGAATAATTCATAACATTTATAATAATTTGATTAAATATATAAAATTCATGATTTCTTAATCAATTTCAATTATACGCTTTATTACGCTAAATTTTCATCATCAATAATTAGTAAATCGTTTTCAATGAAACAATTCAAATTATCCTATTTGTTAATTACAAATATTTTTCAGGTATTTTTTTTCTTCATGATTTAAAATGTTACTTTGCATGTATAAAATGCTGAATAACGTTAAGGAATCGATCTTCTCCTACTATACTCAAGCAAATAACCATTAATGAATTTAACCTTTAACCTTTTAAAATTAATTAGTTTATTGTAAATGATCAATATATTATTATGGCAGATGATAAATTGAAATGGCATGTGAAATGATTTATTTTTGCAAGCATATTCTTGCATTTTGCATTTGTTGCAAATAATTATTTCATCGAAATGAATCATTTTGTTACCTTGGTAACTTATTTCCGACTAATACAATTTATCATCCTAAGCCTTATTGTTAATCAAACCTTTTGCATGCATTCATTGTGCAACACTTTTGCATCAAATTTATGGGATATTTGTGAATTTAAGCAAACTTTTTCTCCTAATTCCATAAATATGCCATACAATTTATTACATAAATAAAAAAAAAAGAAGAAAAAATATCCGTTAAAAAATGAACTAATAAAATAATCATTTCTCTGCAACAAATTCTATTAAAATGTAAAAAATTAAAAAAATTTTTGTGGGTTACTAAAATATTCACTGAAAATATACGCATGAGAAATAAATTTAAAAAACTATATATTGAATCAAATTTTGAAACTTTTGCAATTTATTATTTAAACAAAAATTTTGGATGACTGAATGAAATTTTTGGCAAAAAATTATAAACTATAGGAACATTGTATTACGAATGTTTATCTGATTCAAGGAACAATCAATTGGATCAAGTGAATCAATTGCGCTGGATCAATTGGATCAAGTGGATCAATTGTGCTGGATCAATTGGATCAAGTGGATCAATTGTGCTGGATCAATTGGATCAAGTGGATCAATTGTGCTATTTGGACATATATTGAAGGAATAGTAAAATTAAAAAATGTCATGTCTACAAACTGATAAAAATTATCAGTATGCTGAATGTATTCAAGATATATTCATATTAATGGTTTAATTAATTATATGGTAATTTTTTAGCAAAATAAATATCATAAAATTTGTTTATAATACAATAAAATGGCTACTCACTAGCCATAGCTAAATATACTTTTCATAGATAAGAGATCAAAAATAACATAATTATTCATAATACCTGTTACAACGGAAAATATTGTGGAAAGTATTTTGAAGTAATTTACTTGAAGAAAGTTAAATTCATCATATTCAAAAATTAGGAAGTAGTATAATATTGTTCCAAACAAGAGTAAAACGTTAAAAAGAATTTCAAAACATTTCGAAGCTAATTTAACCTTAAAAATTAACTTATGGATTTGTTATTAGTACTGGACAATAATAAATAATTTTTTAAATTTCACTTCAATAACTGATTAATACGAAGTTTTCTTCAAGTAAAACGATATCCTTTCTTTATCCTTTTTTTTTCCTAGCAATAATTCCATTAATGATTGTTTTAAACTTCAAAATTTCAAAACAATTTTGAAATAATATAATTTCAAAATAACAATAGTTCCGTTAACGAAAATATATGGAATTTAACTATTAAGGTTAAATTAGCTTCGAAGTGTTTTGAAGTTCTTTTTAACGTTTTGCTCTTGTTCGGAACAATATTATACTGTTTCTTAACTTTTAAATATGGTGAATTTAACTCTTCGAAGTGTTTTGAAGTTCTTTTTAACGTTTTGCTCTTGTTCGGAACAATATTATACTGTTTCCTAACTTTTAAATATGGTGAATTTAACTTTCTTTAAGTAAAAAATGAAATATGTCAAATTAACCAATCTGTCGATTTACTTTTGTGTTGTTGTGAACATATATTCATATTCAATTTCCTGCTAATTCAACTCCTACGAGGATTTTAATACAAATTTATTAACTCTTGAAGTCATTTAGTGTTAATTAAAATTAAAATAATAAATTACTTCATATGATCAAATATTAATTGATGGCAGTATTTGCAGAAAGTCTTAAATGAAAAATGCCAAATGAAAATGAATTGATTAAATTGTAAAGGGAAAAGTTAAAGCAAATATGAGCTTAGCTAATTTATGATATTTAAAAAATAAAAAAAATAAATTGAATCATTTATAAAGCTACAAATGGAATGTTTCAAGCCATAAATGTGAAATGAAATAGAAAACAAATAAAAAAAATGTATGTATATATATATATATGTATATATATGTATATATATATATATATCCAACTAAATGTATCGTCAAAATATGAAATAGTACCTGTCAGCTGATTGAGTCATCAATATAAAAATTATTTTCTAATATCAACAGTAATAGGAGAGGATAAATGTGAATGTGATAAAATAAAAATTGGAAATAATATGGTAGCGAAAGGTGATTAAATGAGGAATTAATTAGGATGGTAAAATTTAAACTTTAAATGGATGAGAAGAAATATACTTTAACAAACGAATAAAGCATAATATTGAAGTGAGAACATGAAAAGTCCAGAAATATATGCCGAGTTAATGTAATTAAATTTCGAAAAGGTAAAGAGAAGAAAGGTATTCAAGTAAAAATTTAATTAATGCAATAAGTATAAGCATTAGAAAAGACAAAAGGGAAACTTTACGATTAAAACCTTTGTCAAAAAAAAAAAAAATAGTTTAAACACATATGTAAAGGTTAATGGATAAATTAGATAGATAGATAGATACATACATACGTACATGGTAAATATATCATTAAACATATTTTGTGATATATTGCAAACATATGTCTCGAATAATAATGCATACCTTTGCTAATTAACAAAAAGTAATAGTTATGAAATAAGCAATACAGACAGTATATAAGTTGATCAAAAACTTTCATATATCATCATACAAATATACCTTTCCCTAGCTAATTTATCATGCTTATAATTATTATGTCATGCATATAATTATTTATATGTCATTCTAGTATTGTTAGATATTATTGTTCTATTTTTGCATAATTAAAGATAACTTCGTTAATACCTATGTATTGCTAATAAACACTAACTAACACTTTACTACTACATAATGCATAACAATTTCTTCTAACATATTGCAAGATGTTGCTAAGGCATTCTTCAATCCTTTTTGCTTCATTATACCTTTACCAAATAGTTTTCCATTTATTTTTAACTTCATATAATTTGTATGTATTAAATTTAAATCCTAAACTTTTTCCACTTTATCAATTAAAAAAAAAAAAAA